TTGGGGGCCTCTTGGGCCGTCTTGGGTCGTCGGAAAGCCGACAAAGGAGCGAACACGAACAACCTTTTAAACACATAAGGGCAATCAATCATTTTGGCCTCTTCGGCCCTCCTGGAGGACCTCTCGGATGCCTCTTGGGCCGTCTTGGAGGCCTCTTGTGCACCTCTTGGGCCGTCTTGGGCATCTTGAGGCCATCTTAGGCCGTCTTAGGGTGCATCTTGGTCCGTCTGGGAGGCATCGTGGGGCCATCTTAGCCGTCTTGGAGGCCATCTTGGGCCATCAGGGCGGTGAAAGCAATTTCGAGCCGTCTTGTGAGAGTTTTCGGGGGAACTGCGCGCCCTTCGGGTGGCCGGCGGGACGGGCCGAAGCCACAGGGAGAGTTCTTTTGGAGAAAGAACCAGCACCAAAAGCGAAAGGATTCAGCACGCCCAGCACGCCTGCGAGGAATCAACAGGGGGCGGCGGATTTCGGCCTCGCAGGCGGGTTCGCGGGGAGGGGGTTTCTAAGGAGCAGGAGGGCCTTCAGCCAGGGTGCGTAGTGGAAAATAATATTTTGGGAGGCTCCTTGGGGTATCCTGCAAGACTTCTCGAGGGCCTCCTGGCTATCTCTTCTTCGTCTGCTGGGATGCGAAATGCATGACAATATTGAGTCGATTCGCTCATTCCGCCAGCCCGCACACTGTCATCGTTGCCGCTTGCCCGTCTGGTAGTAGCGACTTGGAACGTGTGCCCGTGCTCGTGGCCAACAGGAGATATCTGGGAGGCACTCGATGACTTGTCGGGCCACCCTTGGGACCGACCTGGGTCGTGGACCAGATACCACTTGGTAGGCTTCTTGTAGTCTCTTCGGAGGCCTCTGGGAGACTTCTTGGCGGCAGTGGACCAAATGCCTCTTTCGGAGGCTTCTTGGGGTCTCGTCGGATGCCTCTCGGGGGCTTCTTGGTTGCATTTGTGTGATCTTCTGGGGCCTTTGGGGGGCCTCTTTTGGTAGTTTTTGGGCGGGGGACCTCTTGGGCGCTTCTTGGGGGCCTGCTGGCGGACTCGGGTGCCGTCGTTCGGGGCAGGCTCGGCATGTGCGCTTGGATTCCCCCTCTTGGGGCCTTCTTGGGATCCTCTGCAGCTCTCGTGGGAGGCCTCCTGGGCCATCATTCAACATGCAGGGCAATCTTTGCTGAGGGCGTTACGAGCGGGAACCCCATTCTTAAACTATTGCGCTGTCTACAGTGCTTTAGCATTCTGGTGGTTTGTTCGAGAAGGTCTCAAGCGGGAGCCCCATTTGGAAAAAAAAACGCATCTATCCGTGAAGATTTTGAGGGCGCTTTGGGGAACCGTGCGCGTCGCCAGGTCGAGGACAACATTCTCGTTATGCTTCGCCGTCCATCGGTGTAGCCGACTGGGATTCCCTAGAGTGGTATACGCGGCGCAGAGGCGATTGCCACATTGTGAAAACGATTTGCCCTCCATCCGTATAGTTGCTTGGAGCTTCGAATACGACTGGGCGCGGAGTTGAAGCGATAGCCGCACTTCGAAACCACTTTAGACAGGTGGTGATAATGGTGATCAGGAGGAGGAGGAGGAGGAGGAGGAGGAGGAGGAGGAGGAGGAGGAGGAGGAGGAGGAGGAGGAGGAGGAGGAGAGGAGAGGAGGAGGAGGAGGATGAGGAGGAGGAGGAGCAGATGATGATGATGCTGATGATGATGATGATGATGATGATGCTGATGCTGATGATGATGATGATGATGATGATTATGATGGTGATGGTGATGCTGATGATGATAATGATGATGATGGTGATGATATTATGATGATGGCGATGATGATGATGATGATGGTGATGATGTTGATGATGATGCTGATGATGATGCTGCTGCTGATGATGCTGCTGGTGCTGCTGATGATGATGATGAGGAGGAGGAGGAGGAGGGAGGAGGAGGAGGAGCAGGAGGAGGAGGAGGATGAGGAGGGAACGGTTGGAGAATGGAGGGACCTGAGGAGAGGAGGAGGGAGGAGGAGGAGGAGGAGGAGGAGGAGGAGGGAGGAGGAGGAGGAGGAGGAGGAGGAAGTGGAGGAGGAGGAGGAGGAGGAGGAGGAGGAGGAGGAAGAAAAGGAGGGAAAGGAGGAGGAAGAAAAGAGGGAAAGGAGGAGGAAGAGGAGGAGGAGGAGGAGGAGGAGGAAAAGGAGGAAAGGGAGGAGGAAGAGAAGGAGGAGGAGGAAAGGAGGAGGAGGAGGAGGAAGAAAAGGAGGAAAAGGAGGAGGAGGAGGAGGAGGAAAAGGAGGAGAAGGAGAAGGAGAAGGAGAGGAGAAGGAGAAGGAGAAGGAGAAGGAGAAGGAGAAGAAGGAGAAGGAGAAGGAGAAGGGAGAAGGAGAAGGAGAAGGAGAAGGAGGAGGAGGAGAGGAGGAGGAGGAGGAGGAGGAGGAGGAGGAGGAGGAGGAGGAGGAGGAGGAAGAGGGAGGAGGAGGAGGAGGAGGAGGAGGAGGAGGAGGAGGGAGGAGGAGGAGGAGGAGGAGGAGGAGAGGAGGAGGAGGAGGAGGTGGAGGAGGGCGAAGGAGGATGGTGAAGGAGGAAGACGATCAGGAAGGTGAGGAGGAGGCAGTGGAGGGATGGTAGCGTTCCTCCAGGCTGCTGCACGAGAAGGGGCTGCTGACGTTCTCCAAGTGAGCTCCCCCCACAGGGTAGGCGCGACCCGCCCTGGCCAGCGGTTGCAGCTACTCTGCCCGTCGCACATCAAATCATCGTACCCTCCCGCGCAGGAGGAGGGGAGGAGGAGAAGAGAGGATGACTTTCCCCCTTTTCCAGGTTAACGAGTCATATAAGCAAGCTGCGGACCATTGTGAACACAAGCTAGCAGAGACGGCGATTCAATTTAATCACGAGGCCTGCACCTCCCCCTGCTCTCTCCTCCCCTCGTCTTGTCCTACCTCCTCCCCCGCCCCCGTCCGCCGACGCGCAGCAGGCGTTGCTTGTGCCTGCTTGGAGGGGGCGTGGCTCTCCTCTTCTCCCCTCCTCCTCCCCGTTCCCCCATCCGCCTCCCAGCAGGCTTGTTCCTGGTGCGCGAACATACTTGTTCGTGGTGCTGGGACGCACCGCCCACCCCAGGATGCCCACCGTGGGCGAAGATCGGTCTTCCTTCCCGCCACGGGGGCCATAGGGGTCCCCGCCATAGGGCTCCTCCGCCGCGACCTGCGCACCTGCCGAACCCTCACACGGTTCGTGGCCCCATAGGGAGCTCCACCGAAGGCCCCAGCGGCAGGGTCCACATGGCGGCGCCGCTCCATGTTGGCACACCCCTCACACGGTTCGTGGCGTGGCCCCATAGGGAGCTCCACCGAAAGCCCCGGTGGCAGGGTCCACATGGCGCCGCCGCCCCAATTTGGCGCACCCTTCACATTCATCGTGGCCCCACAGGGAGCTTCACCGAAGGCCCCGGTGGTAGGGTCCACATGGCGGCGCCGCCCCACTTTGGCGCACCCCTCACACGTTTCGTGGCCCCATAGGGAGCTCCACCGAAGGCCCCGGTGGCACCGTTCGCATGCGCCTCCCCCACCCAGCCCCATAGGGAGCTCCACCAAAAGCGGTTCTCACGATGCGGCACTCGCGGCTGCATATGGTCGGGCCTTTCGTCAGGCTAATTGTTTTTTGTTTATTGTTTTGTTTTGTTGGTTATCCCCCACCATCCAGTGGTGTTGGGTCCTCGTTTTGGAGAGACAGCGCCCCGCGTTACCTTCTCACTCCTCCCCTCCTCCCTCCTCCCTCCTCCCCCTCCTGGCCTATGCCCTCCGCATGTCTCTGTTTCGGCACACCCAGTGCAGCGTTTCGTGGCCCCATAGGGAGCTCCACCGAAGGCCCCACTGGCAGGGTCCACATGGCGGCGCCGCTCCAGTTTTGGCGCGCCACTCACACGGTTCGTGGCCCCATAGGAAGTTCCACCGAAGGCCCCAGCGGCAGGGTCCACATGGCGGCGCCGCCCCATTTTGGCACACTCCTCACACGGTTCTTGGCCCCATAGGGAGCTCCATCGAAGGCCCCAGTGGCAGGGTCCACATGGCGCTGCCGCTCCATTTTTGGCGCACCCATCACACGGATCGTGGCCGCATTGTGAGCTCCACCGAAGGCCCCGGTGGCAGAGTCCACATGGCGGCGCCGCTCCATTTTGGCGCACCCCTCACACGTTTCGTGGCCCCATGGGGAGCTCCACCGAAGGCCCCAGCGGCAGGGTCCACATGTCGGCGCCGCCCCATTTTGGCGTACCCCTCACACGGTTCTTGGCCCCATAGGGAGCTCCACTAAAGGCCCCAGTGACAGGGTCCACATGGCGGCGCCGCTCCAGTTTTGGCACACCCCTTAAACGGTTCTTGGCCCCACAGGGAGCTGAACCGAAGGCCCCAGTGGTAGGGTCCACATGGCGGCGCCGCCCCACTTCGGCGCACCCCTCACACGGTCCGTGGCCCCATAGGGAGCTCCACCGAAAGCGGCGCCACAACACGGTATTCTTAACTGCACATGTTTGGGTCCTTCGCCAGTTTTTTTGTTTTTTTTTTTTGTTTGTTTTTTGTTGTTGTTGTTGTTGTTGTTGTTGTTGTTGTTGTTGTTGTTGTTGTTGTTGTTGTTGTTGTTTTTTCTATCTTGCAAGAGTTTCATGGATTTAGGGCGGTTATTTTTCATGGTTTGGCTCTCGTTCCAGCGCCGCGCACATTTTGCTATATCTTCAAAATGGCAAGCGCTTCACGGATCCCCATGATCAACGTGCCAGGAAGTGTGTTTTGGAAGGGTTCAGGATTATGAGGGTGCAGCCGTTGATCCGTGGCGTTGGGATCCCGAGAACAATGTGTTGGCATGCTTCAGGGTCTTCAAACGGTTGTCTTCGAACGAGGCAGTTCCCTCAGTGGAAATGAACCGTTGTAGGGTCTAGAAAGAGGGAGCTTGGAGGGAGGGTTTATTCCAACACCGTTGATAACCCTTGGGGTTGCACTGATCCTCCTCTTCCTCCTCCTCCTTTCGATAGCCATTTTGGCAAGGCGGTCCTTGGCTGAAGCCTTAGGGTCCACTGGACTCCTGCCCTCAGGCCTGGACTCAACCGACAGGTAGCCCAGTCACAATGTCGGAGGGCTATCGCAACCAGACTCGCAATTGCATCCTCCAGAAGGACGACGTGGGCAGGGCAAAGAGGTCAACGTATGACCTGCCTGATGACAACCACGCGTTCGGCCGTGCCGAGCAGCCAGACATGGAGGGAGCCGGCGAGGTCACGATGAACTGGGCGGCGCACGTGCCGAGCTCGAAGCAGGGCCCGGATCAGCGGGACTTCCTCAGGATCAACAAGAAGGCCGCAGGATCCAAAGTGACAAGCGCCAGGGACCTGAGAGAGTTCACCAAGATGAACGACATCAAAGTTGCCCCAACGGGGCCCAGCGGCGTGCTCCCGAAGATCATCCCCTCCGATGTGATCCCCAGCTTCGCGTACGGCGTGAAGGCCCGCCCCTCGACGCCGATCCACCAGGTGCTGAACGGCGACTACGAGGCCGCGGAGAACAACCGCCTGGAGGCTCTCTACAGGCAGCGGGAAGACGCCCTCGAGGCGCGCCAGAAGAAGCACAAGGTCCAGATGACGAAGTCCGCGAAGGCCCAGATCGAGAACGCCCGGGCCTTGAAGACAGCGGAGGGCGCGCCAGACCCGCCGGCCCCTTTCAAGATGAACAAGTACAAGAACGTCAGCTCCAAGCTGAACCTGGCGCCCCTGGGGAAGTCGGCCTCCACGCCCGCCCTGTGAGGCCAGCGGGGCTGCGCGGCAGCGTATGCGGTGAGCCCGGAGACTCGGACATGGTCCAGGCAGGGGCCATCGGCACGCGGATTGAGGAGCGGAGGAGGAGGAGGAGGAGGAGGAGGAGGAGGTGGAGGAGAGGAGGAGGAGGAGGAGGAGGAGGAGGAGGAGGAGGAGGAGGAGGAGGAGTGAGGAGAGGAACGAGGAACGATCAAGGACTAGCATCCGGGCCGATGTCGAAAGCTAGCCGAGAGGACATGCGTAGCTCGGCTGCACGCGGGAGGAGCAAGGGCCTCGACTCCCGTGAAACGTATGGGGCGACGAGCCGCGGCCCTATGCGACCTCAACCTGCAGCGGCGCTAAGCACCACCACAGGCAGTGGCTGCCTGTGCCCGCTGCTCCTGCCCTGCTGAGGCGGCCCCACGGCAGGGCCTAAGAAGTGCACGCCAGCAAGGAAGCTTGACAGCATTACGGGTGCCACAGCGTCGGCACAAGAGGTACCGCTCTGCAGCCTGGACCAAATGTCCACAGTACTCGAACGTGTCAGATGGCTCTGACGGAGCATCATCCGACGGCGTCGACTGTAAACTCACCTTGTGCAACGCGGCAAGGACGGTAGCACTTCGCGCCCTCGGCAGGGCGCCCTTGTGCCGCCAGGCCCTCGCCGCCGAGAGGCGAAGGTGCACACGAGCAGGGCCACAGCTCGCGCCGGGCTGCTCAAGCCTCGCCCTGCTGCTGAGGCGGGCCTTGGCCGATCAGTGGCCCCACGTGCACCGATCACCCCCTCTGCACCGCCTCCAAGTCGTGAGAAAACAAAGCAAGTTTGGTGACGTGATCCCCGCGCCCCTTCTTCAAGAAGGGCCCATCCGGGGCCTTCGCGGCAGCGTGCGGGGATGCCCTGCCGACAGAGTCCATCGTACGACAGGCATCCTGCAGCTGCTGCTTTGTAGGGATGACGCTGAAGTCTTGCATTTCGAGGGAGTCCGCCCCCAACCTGGCAAAATCATCAGCCCACACATTGCCGAGATAGTCAAGCACCTGCTGCCCGTGATCAGACGCACTGCCCGACTGTTCCAGCATAGTTTGCAGATCCCGGTGGGCAGGCGTTCATCGAAGGAGGGGCCTCTCGGGCCTCTTGCCATCAAGCCGGAACATATCGCACCGGACTGAAGTGTGCTGGCCAGCACCTGTGCACAGCTTCGGGTCCCAGGCAACACCTTTCTTGACCGCAGACAACTGGTCGGACAAGATTTCAGACCCCGAGGAGCCCACGCGCAAAGCCTGGAGGATGGCTTGGCGCTCGGCTCTGGGTACCGTCTGGCACCTACCCGAGACAGGACCGTAGATGGCTTTGATGGGTCATCCTCCTGGAGGGAGCTCAACTACAGCCCAGCCTCATCTGGTCGCCTCAGGCAGCCCGTTGGCAAGGCCCGCACCGTCCGTGTAAAACTTCGGTCCCCAAGGTCGGTGCACCCCTCCGCATTCAAAGACAGGGTTAGGCTCAGCAATGGCCGTACTCTCAACCGTGAGGGAGGGGAGACTATGAACCAACTCAACCAAGTCGAAGTCAGTAGGATCCCAAGGGCCGATTATATTCCAGCCACTGCTTGTGCTCCTGAACTTTGTTGGGGAGAACGGGGGCAACGCTAGGGTCATCATTACCGATTCGCCATAGAACTTTACAGTCATAAGCTTGATGCCCGAACGTGCCTAGGTACAGCCGCCGTGCAGAAATCACATTGGTCCGATATAGAACAGCCTTGGGCAAACTTCTTCGCAGGAGGCCACATGTGCCCCATTCAGGAGAGAACGAACGTAGGCTTGCCTGACAAGGGTCCTTGATTCGCTGAATCCAATAATCTGTGGGCCCTGCCCCAGATCACTTTCTCTTGGCAAGCTTCGGGAATGCTCGTCAGGGTCTGAACACACCGAGCGCGATTGATGCCTTCGCGCAACATCATGCGAAGGTCACTTGGGCAGGTGCTACGAAGAGAGATAGCTTGATCATCATCGGTACGATTGTGGCGCGGGCTTACAAGCGTCCAACCTACCCGCATCAGAGAAAGCATGGTTGCCCCCTATCGGTCCTTGCACCTTAGGCAAGTGAGGGCTGGAGCTGAGCTTGCTGTGCGCTGCCTCCCACGCCATGCGTAGGTCAGAGTCTGGCGCCCTTATTTCCCAAACCCAGCACCAATCTTGAACAATAAGCGGCATAGTGGCATCGACTAATGGGTTGTATGATAGGTCCCAGTACGTGCTCACATATGGAGGGACATGCGAGTGGCCCGTGGTTGAGGCCCTCGGCAAGGGAGCGGAGGCCTCTAAGCGTGGAGCCTGTGATTCCAGATACCCCAGCACCGTGGCACCCTCTAGATTGCGCACGTGCTGCTTGCGGTGAAAGCTTACTATACGTGCTGGGAACTCAGTGTGCGTTGATGCAGCAGTGGTCTTAGCACTGTATTCAGATTGATTCCTTTGCAGCAGAAGGCCAACGTGATCAACTTGCCTGCAGAGCTTTTTGGTTGCGGCCAGCGCCTTGGATGCTTGGCTAGGGTCCTCGCCTTGCCACTGCAAGGACATATCCACCAAAGCCCTCGACTGCACGCAAGGTAATGTATCACTCGTGCACCTGATGGGCATGAATCCTCTCGGTGGGCTATCTAGCTCCAGAAGGGCATCCATCCCAGCTGAAGGGGAAAACCAACATCATGGAACATCCGACAAATCGCAGACAGTTTTTCTTTGTTCGTGGGATTTTGTCATGTCTAGGAACAATGTCACCTGATCGTGGCCCTTCGCCTTCGCAACTTCGGCACTTCAATCGAAATCGAACGCAGAAGCGCTGACACTCCTCCCGTTCGCCGCTCCCTAGAAATCCTTCGTCCTATGGGATCGCTCCCGCTCGTCAGTGAGGGGGCGCCGCGATCCGCCCCATACTCGGAGCAGGTAATCGAGACGTGCGATGAGGCGGCGGCCTCCCTCTGGCTTGTCAAGCATGACCAGGCGGCTGACCAACCTGCCCGTCGGCCAAGAGCAGCATCCCTCGCAGCTGATTGGCATCGCCGAAATCACACCGAGAGCTTGACCGGATGGGTACTAGAGAGGCTGTGGATAAACCTTGCAGCATGCTACCGCTGTTCTGCTGGGGAATTCGGCGATCTAGGCAGAGCCAGCCAGCTGGCGCTGTCTACACGCAGAGGCGGCGCTTGGCACCCACCCACGGGTGGCCCAGATCCTGGCCCACTCATCACAGGTCCTGTCGGCGTGCTCGCTGGGCTGGGCCCTATCGTTGGCTTCTAGAACCCATTGGGTACCTCTAGCACGAGCAAGACGAGGGGCCCCTCTGGCGCCTCCGAGGAAAGTGTCCTTGACCCGGGATTTCCAGGAGGCACCCCGAAGGGTAAAAAACCGAGCCTGCTGGAGCTCAACCTGGTTCAGGACCCTCTGGACCAGGTTGTCGGCGTCTGGGTCCCCCAAGAAGTCGCACATCCTAGCGGGTCAAGCTGATCTTGAAGCTTCTGGTGCTTCCGAATGTTAGTGAGAAAGGCGCTAGCCTCATACAATAGCCTGGTCGCCCTCATCATCCTCCTGTGCTGCTCCGAGCCTTCCTTGCTGAGCTTGGGAACGCACGTGCCGAGAGCCGCATCTTCTATCCTGAGATGTCCGCCCGCGGCAGCCGAATTTGAGGCACCGCACGACATTTCTGCCTAACAGCTTCTTGAGGTGCAGCTCTGTCGTCGAAGCCGCATCTCTTCTTGCCAGCCAAATCGTGTCTGTTCAACAACTCGTCCTCAAGTCAAGTAATCAGCATATCCCAGCACGCTGCCAGATTTTCCCCGTTCGTGGCGTCATCGACCTTGACAACTGGCCCATTGCTAAGGGACCTAGCACAACCAGGAGGAGCCAACACTGGAATCGACTCGGGTTGCCTCGCCACTCTAGCCCACATCTCCGTACAAGGCCCCAGCACCTTCAGCGAGACTGGCCTGTGTTGCGACATGTTGGCTGCCATGATCACTGACGGTTTGCGGTTCGGATGGCAACACGCGGGCCAACAGCGAACTAATCCAACACAGTACTTGGAACAGACTGCGCGCACGTAGGCCCAGTGCTTGCAACTACTGCGCCGTTGAGCGCCGACGCCCGAGACTGGAGCAAGGTGGCGTGCTGAATCCTCATCCCTCCGCCCAATCATATCCTAGTGCCTGCGCCCTGTGACTGTAACTGGACAACTCCGTGATCAGACTGAGGTTGTTCGGCCTGGAACACTCGTCAACCCAGCGATATCACGACACAGCAGCGAGGACCTTTTTGAATGCCTTGCGCATGTGGCCCGCAATCGCTCGAGCAGGAACTGTAGCATCACTTCCGAGTAACGTTGGGCATGTGACCTGAGTTGACGTAGGACAAGCCACCGCGATCTGCTCTGAAAGGAGCCCAGTTCCTCTTGAAGTATTCGGTTCTCTTGACAACAAAGATTTGCAATCCTCCTCCCCAGCGCAGGCTCTTCAGCTTCGAGCAATTCAGCCAATGGCCCGTGTGAGGTTGAGTTGACCGTCGTGAGTGTTGTAGCCTTTGCCATGGATGGTGTCACCATCGTGCCAAACAGCCAGAACAACATCACGATCGTCTCAGGCCAAGGGCGCGGCTGCAGGCTCCACTGTCCTCGTCCTCTTGGCGAACAAGGCCAGGCTCGTCCCGACCCTCTGGACAGCCTCCCGCATCTCCTCGCCATCCTGGGGACTGCGACGCTGACCCGCTGCAAGGATGCCCCGCACGTCTCAGCATCCGCCGCCGCATTCGGGATCCAGCTCGGCGTGCCTGGCGCTGGGGCGTCAGCCTGCGCCTCCTTGGCCACAGGCGCTGGTGGCGCAGCTGCCGCGGCTGCCTGGCTCGGCCCGCTGCCCGCAGCGGCTCCGCCTGCCGCGGCTCTCGAGGCCCGAGCCTGGGCGGCCGCTGCCGCCGCTTCCGCCGCCCCGCTCGCCGCCCCCGCGCGGTGCGCCGCCTCCGCGTCGCGCACCTCGGAGGGGCACCCCGTAGAGACGCGTCGCGACCTCCTCGGGCCCGCCGAGGGTGGCCAGCGGCTGGCCCAGCTTTCTCTTCACCGTGAAGGCGTCGCCCACGGCCGGCAGCGCCTGCGAGGTGGACGGCTCGGTGGCGCTGCTGCGGAGCGGCTGCGGCACCTGCGCGACCAGCCGGCGCCGCTCCCCCTCCAGCTCCAGCAGCTCCTTGTCCAGCCGGCCGAGCCGAGTTGCCGCCTCCGCCGCGGCCGCCTCGGCCTCCACGACCTCGGCGAGCGGCGTGTCGACGCGCTGCGCCCGCTTCTCCTTCCTCTCTTCAGGTGGAGCGTGCTGCAACTGCATCTCCTTGAGCTTGGTTTCCAAGCTCTCGCCCGCGACGAGACGCTTGCGGAGCTCGACCTGGCGGCTCTGTAGTTTCTATCGTCTCCTTGAACTCCTGGCAGTCGCTTGCCCCATCGAGCTTCGACAGGTGCGACGCGACCTCCGACAGCGCTCGCTTGACGTCCGAGTCTGCCCCCCCCCTCGGCATGCTCGTCAGCCTCCATTGTCTCGCCGTTGGGTGCCCCTTGTTGGCTCTGCCGACTCTTGAGCTTCGCCAGCTCAATGCGCAACTTGATCCCTGACTGCGCCCGCAGCCTTCCTCCACCGCATCCGTTGGACTGCCCAAGCTGCTGGATGCTGTTGGAAGGGGTGAGAGAGATCTCACGCTTCCCGCCGAACGCGGTGCCTGTGGGCTGCTTGCAAAGGTTGCAATGGTCAAGGTCCGCTCGATTCCACCACCTGCCTCCCGTGGACGTAGACCAGCAGTGCTTTCATTACCATGGCTTCGCCTGTCTGGCAGGCGGCACCATGTGCCTGCCGTAGCCAGTGTGGCTGTCCAGGCTTGACCCTGGACGATGGCTGTAGAAGTGACACGCTGAAGTGTGGGGCCGCGAACTCCCCTCGCCAGAATGCCCTAGTCCCTGAGCCCCTCGCTACGGACTCGAGCCAAAATGGCAATGGACGAGAGGGGAGGAAGGATGGATGAGAGGTGGAGGAGGATAACCACAGAGGAGCAGCAGAGGGAGGAGGTGGAACATGCGGTGCAGGCGGAGCAGGAGGAGGCGGAGCAGGAGGAGGCGGAGCAGGAGGAGGCGGAGGAGGAGCAGGATGAGCAGTTATATGAGGAAGCGCTTCGCGTGACCTCTGCGACAGACTAAGCATCGTCCCTGGGTGGCACGTCGGCGGTTTGCGGCGGGCCGTTCCCAGGGACCTCCCACTGCGAGCTGCCCAGGCACGGCCGTTGCGCTCGGGCGCGCACTCCCTACCCCGCAGGCCTGCGTAGCAGACTTGCGGCACCTGCTCCTAGACTCTGACCCGCCCTTGTATGTGCCTTTGTGAGGCTGCACGATGAAGTGTGCTCCCCTTCCCCTCGTCGTCCTCCTCTCTTTTGTTGTTGTTGTTGCTGCTGTTGTTGTTGCTGTTGTTGTTGTCGTTGTTGTTGTTGTTGTTGTTGTTGTTGTTGTTGTTGTTGTTGTTGTTGTTGTTGTTGTTGTTTTTGTTGTTGTTGTTGTTGCTGTTGCTGTTGTTGTTGTTGTTGTTGTTGTTGTTGTTGTTGTTGTTGTTGTTGTTGTTGTTGTTGTTGTTGTTGTTGTTGTTGTTGTTGTTGTTGTTGTTGTCGATGTCGTTGTCGTTGTCGTTGTCGTTGTTGTTGTTGTTGTTGTTGTTGCTGCTCGTATGCCTCCTGCTCGTCTTCATCTCGATTCTTCCTCCATCTCTTCCCCTTCTTTTCTTGGTCACATATCCCTCCTTCTTTTCCTCCATTCCTCCCCTGAGCCCTCTCAAATGCTCATCTTGACAGGCTGGACATCCTTGTTCCCTCTCAACTGTTGGAGCCATCTTGGGCCATATTTGGGACCTGCATTACAACGCTCGTGGATCGCGGGGGCCAGTCGCTCTAGACACTTCGAGGTACCCCTGCAAATCCTCGCCCGTGGCCCTTGCGCGTCTTCATTATTGTTTAGGTAAGGGGATGTCCACACAGTGTCTTTGTCAGCTCTACAATGCTGTTCTTCATTGCAGGGGGTAGCCTTCGGTAGGTTTGGCTGGACGCTGCTCCGAGTTGGTCGGACAGTTGGGCTTTGTCGACGTTTGCTGTCCATCGGGTCAACAAAGCATGATGCTCGAGTACAGGATGAGTAGCAATGACCTGAGGGTACTTCACGTCGTGCCTAGGGTCCCCAGTGGCGGATCTCTCTCTCTCTCTATCTATCTATCTTTCTCTCTGTACTCGCTTATGTTCCTGTATTTGCGATGTGGGGAAGAGCACGGCCACGATCGCATCATAATCACCATTTTCTGCCGCCCCGTCGCTGCCGTCGCCGCTGTCACTGCCTCCACTGCAGTCGCCGCCTCTGCCGTCGCCACCTCTGCTGCTGCCGCTGCAATCGCTGCCCACGCCGACGCCTCGTACGTCTGCTGCGCGCTATCCTTAGGTGGTCCGTGTGGCTCAGGATCTTTCGGCTCTGGCGGTCACTGCCGAGCCACAGCGTGGTCGAGTTGCCCTGTGCGCGCACGACCGCCAGCGATGGACGGGGCAGACAGAACGGCCGCGACGATAGCGACTGCGTGCGGGCACGTTGCAGGCGGGGAGCCTACTAGGCGCCGCCCCAACGACTCCTCCTCTGTGGCTGCGCTGCTGGGTGGCGGCCAGGCAGTCCCTCAACCGCCGCCGCCGCTGCACCAGCCGTGCCGGCCACCATGGCTCGAGGAAACCTCTACGGCCACACACTTCGCCCCGCCTGTCCGTGGGGCGGGAGGCGGGGCCACGTCGGACTCTGTGCGTAAGATCGTGGAGATGGCACCAGTCACGCCGCGGGTGACGCGGGCGGCTCGCACGGAGGTCCTGCGCACCCACCGGCAGAGCGCCCACTTCAGGAACCTCTTATTTGGGCCCGCTTTAGGCCACCACTCCGCCGTGGCCTCTGGCGACGGCACCGCCAGGCCGCAGCCTGTCTGTCCGCTGCATGGCCACGCGCCCCACGACGTCTTTGAGGGCGGCCTGCCCCGTGGCATCGGCCACGGACGCAGGCACATCGAGCCCGCGCAGCACCTCGTGGGCGCGGCGGCGGCCATGGGCGGCGAGCTGTCCCCACTGTCTGTGAAGGGCGACCACGCCGGCATGCCAGACCACTTCGTCTCGCTGGGGGTGGCGGCGGACGGCCTGCGGCGGCCTGCTCCGGCAAGCAGCGGGAGCGCCCGCAGCTGCGCAGGCGGCGCGCCCGACGGCGCCTCCAGCGGTGCGGCGCACGCCACGTGCTACAGGGAGCTGGCGGCGTCGGCGCTCCTGAAGGCGCCCGCCCCCGCGCGCGCCGCGGGCGCCGAGGGCGCCGAGGGCCGCACCGCGGCGGCCAAGCGCAGCGCCGCGGTGGCGGCAGAGAGGCCGCTGAGCTGCGGCGGCTGCGGCCGCGCGCCGGCCGGCGCGCCGCGGCAGCAGCGGCCAGCGCGGGCGGCGTCGCGGCCCCGCGCTGCGCCGGGGAGGCCGCGCCCGGGCGACGCCGCGCGGCCCCTGCCGCTCGGGGCGCCGCGGGCAGCGCGAGCCCCGCCGGTGGGCACGGCGCGCCTTCGGCGGCCGGCCGCGCGCCGCCGGTCGGCACGCCGACGCGGCGGCCGTCGTCGTGCGCGGGGAGCGGCCGCCCCACGCCCGAGCGGCCCGAGCGGCCCGCTGCCGCGCGACCTGGCGGGCGCCTCGGTGCCACCTGACCGATCCGCAGCCCCGCTGGGCCAGGGCGTATCTCGGTTCGACCAAGCCCTCCTCGAGTTTCGGAGGTGGGGAGACCTCCTACCCTGACACGTCGACTAGCGAATTGGCCGTCTTCGGTTCGCGAGAGGGCGTCGCGGCCGTCATTTTTGCGGGTCCAGGTCCGTCGG